GCCGCCAAAGTGGACCAGCAGGCTGCCAGTCTCCTCCGTGGGGCCCTCGGCGTGGTGCCGTTACTCCGCGGCCGGCCAACCGTGCCGCCCGCCCGCCCCGCGCCGTCCACAACGACGGCGACGACGAAAAACAGCGCCCGTCGCACTCTTTGGACGCGACCCGCCGCGATCAGGATTTTGCACATTGCAACCAAATAAATCCCCGGTGTCAGCGATACCGCAAGGGCCAAATGTCCAGATGGGGCTCGGCTCACCGTTCAAGGGTAGTTCGGTCATCGGTGATGAAACAATCGACTTGTTCAAATGTTTATACCTTCTGTTCTCGTGTTCTCTATTCTTCACGATATGTGCTAGCGTATGAATGTGCTGGGACCCAGATGGGCCCATCGTGCTGAGAATAACCTTGGCTTTTGTGGCGCGGCCTGCTTTTGAGATGCAATCGGGCAGAAGGCGTCCGTCGCTGCAGTGTTCGGATTTAGGAGAAGGACACACAGTAATCCGGCATGGTGACAGATTGGGGCCGGTGCTCAGGCCAGAACAACAAGCTGTCGTTATGTGCGAACAATCATGACATATCCATGCTCTGGTATAACAGATTAAACAAATATCAGATTGAAATGCGTAATTTTGTGTTGTCAGCCAATCGGTAATGCCCGAATAGACAAAAGGCAATCCACAGGGAAAACCCATAACACCATGTTCAGGAAGCTGCTCATTGCTGTCCCACCTCTAATTTCTAATGAGCTGAAAATAGACGTTTCTGTCACATTGTGCATTTGTTCTGCCCGGTCGGCGAGCACATCTGATCCAGGGAGAACCCCGCCGACCGCTGTTCTGGACAGTGTTTCCCTCGGTCATAGAGTATGTGACCGTCTGACCTATCGGGAGAGTTTGGTATGACCGTGACCTGTCGGATTCTGCAGGAGTTGCAGACGGTCACCAAAGGTATGCACCTGGAAGGTGCCGTGCAGGGTGGACCCATACAAATCACGGACTGTTAATTGTTAATGTTGATGATATATAGGTGCCACATTGTGCTATGAATTAGTGATGCATATTACTAGTACCTATATGAAATGTGGTCATGGTTTAGCTATTGAAGAACAGATATTTGGTCAATGGTCATCCATTTGGAGCAATCATTCGCCAGCATTTAGCATATACCCCTAGAGCGCTATCACGCAACCATTCACATGAATAACGTGCCTTCCGTGACTGCGAAATGGTGCAATAGAGAAATCGCCGTGAGCCGCCCCGTGCCGGGCATTTCACCGAAGTGAAACGCCTTTGGCATGACACCATCCGGCGGATACGATGTGGGCACAGAACAGACACCTTGCGCTGTCGACTTTCAGCCGATGTGGTGCGGTGCACAGTTCACCGACGGGAGCCCGGCGCCCTTGACAATTGACATGACGGTCAGGTCAGGTCAGATCATATTGACTGATATGGGCATAGGTAGGTACCGAAGATGAAGCCCTGGTTTCAATGAATGAATGAATGAATGAATGAATGAATGAATGAATGAATGAATGAATGAATGAATGAATAAATAAATAAATAAATAAATAAATAAATAAATAAATAAATAAATAAATAAATAAATACATAAATGAATAAATAAAATAATGAATGAATGAATGAATGAATGAATATCCCAAAATAACATAAAATCGTTCGAATTTACTAACACATTCAATACCTATTAATGCATGCTATTGATAAACAATATGCAATTTGTTTGACACGACATTGAATATTAGATACATAGTACACTTGCGGCAGATTGTTCCACCACTCCCTACCCATCGGGCTACTATGGCTCAGCACTGGCTGCTGCCAGTGGCAGCACTGACAGCACTAGCACCGGCAGGCAGTGCTGAGCAGTGCTGAGGGCAGGCAATACTGGCAGCAGCCAGTACAGAGCCATGGGAGCCGATGGGTAGGGAGTGGTGGAACATCTATCTGCCCCCGAGTGTACATACCTAACAATCCATAATTTGCCTAAATGACGAACATAGATAGCGTACTTGGCTTGGCCCCGTTGCAACTCAGCAACTGCCCAATCCGTTGCGCTGTTATACGTGGAGAATGGTGGTCGATAGATACCACCAAAACCAAACTTACCAAACCAAACTTAGATTCCAAATTAAATGCTAAATGCAATCGGGAGCAGGCACGTACCCAGGATTTCGCCCAGGAGGGGGCCACCTGCTTCCGAAGGGGCCCCTTAGGTCACCCGGGGGCCCCCAGGCCGCCCAGGCGACCAGGGGCCCCCAGGCAACCAGGGGCCCTCAGGGGTCCCAGGCAACCAGGGGCCCCCATGCGGCCAGGCCCCGCTACCAGGGGCCCCCTTGGCGACTAGGGGCCCCGGGCGATCAGGGGCCCCATGCGACCAGAGGCCCCATGCGACCAGGCCCCGGCTACCAGGGGCCCCCTAGGCGACCAGGGGCCCAGGAAACCGGGGGCCCTCGGATGACTGCAGGGGCCCATCGGGTCATCAGGGGCCCTCGGGTAACCAGGGGCACATAAATGAAACTTTGATATCATTTTTTCTTCCTAGTAAAAGGCGTTTTATCCAGTGTTTGAAATTAATATACCGGAGCCTGAGGGGCCCCTGAGCGCCTTCGGCGCTCAGGAGGGGGCCATGGCCCCCGTGCCCCCCCCCCCTTGGGTACGTCACTGATCGGGAGACATCGGAGACAAAATGTAAGTCAAAGCATTCCCAGTCCGTCGGATAAGGATACTGACCACTCAGTCTCGACTGTGGCGGCGGCTGGATCGCCAGTTCGTATCTCCGCTGTACCTATCTCAGTTCCATCGGCTCGTATACGTTCAGCGTCTCGACTGAAGACACAGTCAGCACCGTCTCGAGCTGAACCGTTCCAGCGCTGACTCAGCACTCAGCACTAGCAGTGTACCAAATCTACTATCATGTAGTCCACCGTGAAATTCTCTCCCTGTCGGGCGCTGTCGTACGCAACCTTCAGCTTCTTCAGTTGAGTCTCTAAGACAGTCTGCAGATATACATACATGGCCTTGGTCTGCAGTTGGTTCTCCGAGACAGTCAGCAGTTGTGTCTCCGGGACAGGCAGCAGTTGGGTCTCCGGGACAGGCAGCAGTTGTGTCTCCGGGACAGGCAGCAGTTGTGTCTCCGGGACAGTCAGTAGTTAAGTCTCCGAGACAACCCACAGTTGAGTCCCCGCTAATTCAGCGGTCTCTGAGACAGTCAGCAGTTGGGTCCCCACGAATTCAGCGGTCTCTGAGACAGTCAGCAGTTGAACGCTCACCGAGCTCAGCGGTTTGGGCTTACTGAGTTTATCGGTTGGGCGTCCGCCGGGCTTAGAAGCTGGGCTTGCACCGAGTTTGTTAGTTGTGCTCGTGCTGTGTTTATCAACTGTGCCGGTGCCGAATTTATTTGTTGGGCGCCCACCGCTCCCGTAGCAGCCCGTGCAGTGTGTATGGGTGGCGGAGGGGCGTCTCGCGTGCCGCGTGGCGTACCATGCAGGCGGGCGGAACGGCAGACGGTGGCGAGTGGCGGCCGCTCACTGCGGCAGGGTCGCTGACCGCCTCAGAGGCTCCGAGACGGCATACACCGAGCACATTGCCGCCGGAGCGCCGACACTGACACCACCTCTGACACGGAGAGCTGGTGTGTGCCGGTCGGCGTGGCCGGTCACCAGAGCAGGTCACCGGGATAAGCTGTGGGCGCTGACGGAACATATCGAATAGTCAGAACACTCACGCTGCATTGACGAGAGATGGAGAGAAGGCGGGATGAACGGTGTCCGTCATTATCCAGTTCCGACTTTTTGATGTGACACTTATGCAAAAATGTAAGTGTCGAACTGAGGTGAAACGACATTCACTTTGGTTCTAATAATCGTTCAACACTTGGGTGCTTAACTTCGTCACAATGCTTATATTCGAACGCGATTGGGTTGGGACTGACGTGCATTGGAACGCGAATTTCGTTTTGCACGACCTGTCAGCGTGAACCGAGCAACGAGGTTATTGTTGCGCTCTATAGACAAAAAACATCACAGGGAGCTCAAGATATAGGTCAAGGCTCGATACGCCTGAATCATCGCATTCATCAGCTCGACATTTGGCCTCATGACCTCATTCACGAAGTTGACCTAGAAATAACGGCTAGCATTTCACCGCGTCCTAGAGAAAGTCATAGTTATCGTCCCTGTCCCTTTGCCGGTCTTGTAACGCCATTGCATAGTCTGCGTTCGATAATTGCGCATCGTTTGTGTCTCATGTTGACCAATCAGAGTTATAACTCTTCCCTCTTTTCCCAACTAGCATATCACTCCAGCGTCGAGGTATCAATCACGGGCAGTCGGACCACACCGCCACCGATTATCAGGTATCGTTTCCTATAAACGGCGCCCGCCGACCGGGGCGGGGCGGGGTGGGGCGGGGGCGGGGGAGGGTGGCCAGACGCAGCGAGGGGCCCTATCGGGGCGGCGCTGACGTCACATCAGCTGATCGTCTCTCTCTCCGGGGGTGGAGCGGCCGGCGTCGGTGGTCTCCCGACACTAACACAGCACACTCGAGCCGGCGACGGCGGCGTGCCGAGTCCTCCCGTGCCCAGGTTGCTATGGCGACCCGTGAGCGTACAGCTGCACCCGGACCGCCTGTCACGAGGAAATCAGTTTGCAAAACGTGCCGGTGTGTTCGCATTGTCCCGTTAGGTACTCTGTAAATAGACGGCTGGTTATTGGTGCTGGTTTGCGACTGCTGGGGCCTCAGCACTAGTGTGCCAAGTGCTAATGCTATTTGCTGTTAGGTATTCCTGCCGTATGTAACGACTAAAGTACCAAATGCAGCGGTTAAATGTTGCAGGGTGCCAGTCAAATTGCATTGCAGCTGTCCACAATAACTGCCCATGAATCAGTATCTTAGTTCGTTTGAACTTGATCACAGTGGAACGTGTCTGCCCTATAAGCTATAACTTGCTGACTGTCTGTCTGTTTGTGTGTGTTTGACAGGTATTGAAGACGCCTTCCGAGAATGACGCGGACCCGCTCGGGGACGCAGCGTGGTCCTGAAGCGCCGCCGGCCGGGGGACCTGCACGGCGCCGATCTACAGCGTCCAGCAGCGAGTCGGCGCCTGCCGAGACGGCCCCCGCTGCCCCCGCCGAGCAGCCGGCCGCCCCCGCCGCCCACGCCGCCGCCCCCGCCGCCGGCAGTACCGACGAGAAGCCGCCGGCCGGCCGCGATGGAGCGCCGGGCCGGGGGCGGCGGAACCCGCCCCGCTCATCACGCGGCTCCAAAAACATGGCCAGGGACTACTCGGACCTGGTGCGGTCCCGGTCGGCGCCGGGGACCAGCTCCGGGGAGGCGCCGGTGACCCGCGCCGCCCGGCCGGCCTCCCCGGCGCCGCCGCCGCTCCCGCCGCCGCCGCCGCCCCCGCCGCCGCCCCCGCCCGCCATCACTCTGCGGACAGTGATTGTGAACGGTGTGATAAAGGAGGCGCACTGCGAGCTGTTCAAGCCGGCGGCTCCGGCCAACACCAAGCTGACCCTCAGACGGACCAAACACGGCTGGGCGGCCGCGTCCGGCGCCGCCTCCAAACGAGCGGCCAAACATGGCGTGCGCTCCAAACACGACCTGATGAGGAAATCGATGGCAATGATGAAAACCCTGAGTGCCGCATCGTTCGGGTCCAAACCGTCAAAAACATCAAAATCATCTACGGTAACATCAGCGGCAGCCAAAGCCACATCAGCTCCCTCAACCTCGTCAGCCTCGGCGCACGCACCTCCGGCAGCTGCCTCAGCCCCGGCAGCCTCCGAGCGGCCAGAGCCGGCGGCTGCCGAGGACACGTCTGAAGACGTCGGTCCCGACGTGGATGACACCGAGCTGACGGCGCGACTGAAGCGACTCTACTCGAGGAACCGGTCGGCCTCGTCGAGCGACGCCCGCTCCGCGCGGGCCGACAGCGGCAGCTCCTCGGGCAGGACAGACGAAGCAGCCAAGGAGGACGAGGCAGCGCCACGGTTCACCGCCAGCGTCTCTGAAAACGGTGACGGTGACGGTAAACGTGCCGAAAAGGATAACACCGCCTCTGAAGGTCCGCCAAGGATTAAACTGAGCGTGAAAAAGGAGCTCTCGGCTATGCTCAGCGCCCGGCCGAAGTCTGAGCTGATGGCTGTCGACGACGAGCCCCTGAGCCTGGTCTACCCGCCGCCGGTGATCGCCGTGCCCAAGATCCGTCTGGGCGGCCCGTCTCCGGGCTCGGGGGCGGCGGCACCGGCGCGGGGCGCGCAGCAGGCGGCCAGCAGCTCGCCCATGCTGGCCTCGCTGCTGGACAGCACGCCGGCGCCAGACCCGGCGCGGCCGGCAGTGTCGCTGCCCAGCAGCGAGAAGAGCTGCGAGCTGCTCAAACACCTGCTCTCCAACTCGCCCAAGGAGAGCCCCACACCGCCGCCGGTATCGTCCGCGGCCGCGTCCGAGCCAACCAAGCCGACGTTCAAGCTCAAGTTCCACAACCGGGACCCGGTGACGTTCCGGGCGCGCTCCGAGAAGCCGGAGCCGTCCGAGCGCACCGGCTCGCCTCTGGACCCGCGCTGCAAGCTGACGCCGTCGCCGGTGCGGACTCCTCCGACCTCCACGGGCGCGCCGTCCGGCACCCTGTGGACCTTCCTCAACGACCCCAAGATGGGCATCCCGGAGCTGCTGCTGATCCCGCTGCCGCGGCTGAAGGCGCTGCTCAGCCAGCCACTCCAGGAGCTGGCCAACCTCTCCACCTTCACACTGGAGGCAGTCAAATACGTGGGCTGGCACCCGGCCTTCCGACAGGTGGACATCCTGCAGGTCAGCCGCGACCGGCTCTACAAGCTGCTCAAGGACCCGCGGACCGAGGTGAAGAGGCTGCTGACGGACCCGTCGGCGCGCCTGTTCCCCCTGGGCCGGCCAGGCGTCGGGGGTGGGGGCGGCTGGGGTCCGCGCGGCCCGCCGCCAGACGTGGCCCCGCTCGCCGCCGGCCGCACCCCAGTCTCGGCACCCTCGCCGTCCACCAACTCGCTGCTGCGTCAGAAGCTGATGACGCGCGGCAGCGGGATGCACGGCGACTTCAGCTCTCACTGTATGAGCGGCCTGAGTGCGGCTGCCCGCGGCGGCGGCGGCGGAGGCGGGGGCGGGGGCGGCGGAGTGGCGGTCGGCTACCGCGCCCCACCGGTGCTAACACCACTCTCTCAGGTGTCCGCCCGTCCCACCCAGGAGCAGCAGCTGCTCAGCCTGCTGAAGCAGCCGCTGAACAAGGCCACCTACCTGACGGACGAGGTGACCATCCGGCCTATCTCACAGACGGCCGTCGCCGCCGCCGCGCCGCAGAAGCGCTCTCTGCCGGACCTGATCCCGCGGCCCGGCAAGCGGCGCGCGCCGCCCGGTCTGCGGCCGCTGGCGCAGCCGACCCCGCAGATGCAGCCGCCGCTGCCGCCCTGTCCGGACGACAGCGACGCTGACGATGACGCGGCGATGCTGGCCGCTGGCCTGGTGCAGGCCTGTCTGGGAGAGGAGACGGAGGACGGGACTGACGGGAGTGTGACGCCGGGCGGCGACGGGGAGGAGACCGGCCCCGGTCGGGGAGTCGGGGACGGCGGAAACAGGAGAGGAGGTGGGTCGCCGACAGAGGGACCGGAAGGTGACGCTTGTGGAGACGCAGCGCCGACGAGCGACAGAGCGGGAGCGGATAAATCACCGATGGACACCACTGGCACCGACTCCGCTACGGACTCCGCACCTGCCCTGAACTCAGCGGAAGAAGCTGTCTCTTCTGGCACTGGTGGTTCCTCCGGGACGCTGCCTCCTGCTGCCTCCGAAGTCACCACCGCTCCAGACCGACCCCCGTCGGACGGCCCCTCAGCAGACCCGGGCGCGGCTCCGGCTGCCACCGGGACCTCGGAGGCAGGATCGCGGCCAGCGCCCTCAGACGATCCCGCCGCCAGTAGTGACTCTGTAGACGCCAGTGGTGGTGACGCTGGTGCCGGTGGTGATCTTGGTGGCGGTGGTGAGGATGGTGGTTGTGGTGACCCAGGTGAGCCCAGTGGCACACCATCTGGTGCTGATGGACCCTCAGAAAGTTCTGCAGACGGTCCAGTCACCTCGAACCAAACCAGCGCTGCAGTGACATCTGCTGATGACGCACCTGTGACGTCAGCGGAGACGTCAGCAGCGTCAGCGAGTGATGGAGGCGTGACGTTGACATCAGACGTTCCACCTCGCGTGTCGGATCAATGTGGTGACGCGGAAGGAGACAACCCTTCGGCAGTGGCTAGTGATGTTCAGCCGGACAGTGATAAGGACCCTAGACCGGCAAAAGACGAGCCTGTGGAGGACGATAGTGTGACGTCTGACGCGCACTCGACTGTGTCGGGGACCAGGGACACGCAAACAAAAGACGCAGAAGCGGAGGAAAAGGCATTAGATAGTAGTGTTGAGACTGTTGATAAATCCTCGGCTTCTGACGTCCCAGCTGACGCTTTAACTTCGTCCGAAGTTCCAGTATCATCAGCATCTTCTGTAGCGATATCTTCAGCATCATCAGATTCTACCACCGCCACGGCGTCAACATCTACCTCTCTTGCAGAGATGGCATCTGCTCCAACAACACAAAGCTCTTCTAATGCTGACGTACCAGCATCGTCATCTGAGACTGTGTCTGCAGCAGCTGCACCCAGTTCTTCAGCATCATCTGTTACCAACTCGTCATCTACAGTTCAGACTTGCTCTGCTGCTTCTACCTCAGTGGCGTCGTCCGCTGCAGTGACGGTGACTTCGTCTCCCGCACCAGTTACGTGTGCCGCTCCTGCAACTCCTTCATCCAGTTCCGAACCAACAACGGCAGCTAGTGGAATATCGACTTTGTTATCTGCAGCTAGTGAAACACCAGTTTCCACCTCTAGCGCCTCTAAACCACCTCCAGCTCCTGCTGAGGCTCCCAAACCGGCCTCCGAGACTCCTGAATCTTCAGCTCCTACAGCAGTTGCTCCAGCGCCTCCCAAAGAGGCTGTCCAAGACGCCTCCGAAGCTCCTCCTGCAGGGGCGATGGAGGAGTCCGCGCCCGCCGAGGACGCTGAGAGCGGTGACGAGGAGGACCGTCTGGTGATCATCGAGGAGGAGGACGGGTCCTGCGAGGGGGTACAGGGCGGCCCCGAGGCGACGGCGAGGTCATCCCCGGCCGTGACGTCTCGGTCGACACGGCGCCGGCGCGGCAGTGATACCAGGTGAGTCGCGGCCCGGGTGTGGGACAGACGGGTCCCGGGGTGGGGGTGCAGGGAACGCTGTGACCTCTCTGCAGTGTTACTATAAGACAGACCCCGGTGTGAGTTCAAGTGTTAGTACAAGTTCTGGTGCCGCGTGGCATGTAGCAGTACCTACTTAGAATGTGTGTCTATGCATATCTTCATGGTATTTGTATGTACAAATTTAGCATGAGTGTCGATTCATGTAGTGCACATAATATGCAGTTTCTCTATAGGTACGTGTCCTTTGTAAATACTCGTAGTACTATTTAGTATTTCGGTGCGCATCATTCCCACACTCGTGAAATAACCTTTAAGCACTTCGGCTGTAGGTATGTGCAATTACGTGGTTCTGCAGTGCAGGCATGGTCTGACACATCCGGGAATCTCTCACCTTCCTGACACGTCTGACAATTTCACGGAACCGAACCGCTGTCTGACTCAGTCTGATCCCGTCGGCCATTTTGACCCGTTAGTCAGAGTCATGTCTCGCGGGCGTGCCAAATTCTGAATCAAGTCTGCCGCGCCGCCCAGTCCTCCCGGTACCACTGGCCGCTCTCTCTCTCATCCCGTAACCCCGTTCTAGTTTTAATAAATATTGACGATGGTAAAACGTCAATTCTACGTAAAGTTTGCTCACATACCATGCACTTTCTACGCTGTTGTTGCGTCATTTCGACGTCCTCTGTCCTCTGAATCAGAAATAGGTACGAATCCTTCTCTGGAGTATGGCATATATGTTTTGAATGCTGAAGCGCCGTAATACTTTACAGAACTATCAGTTTTCTACACATAAATAGCCACTAGTCATACGGACAGGCCTAGGGAGGGGCTGGGTGGATACGATCCTACACCATCGCCGGTTTACCTAATTGAGCTAACGTTTCGCGCGAAAAAAAAAACGAGCGTGTGCACCGTTACAAGACGTATCGCAAGACGCGACAGGTACCCAACTTTATTTTGATCCAGGACAACCGGTGACCTCCGAAGTCAGGTCAAAGGCCTTATGATGAGAGTGTGCTGAACAATGGGTGTATTACAATGCACTTCGGTGATCCGACTGGGATTGAAACTTATGATAATTCCACTTCCTTGCATAGATTGCCTCATTCTTTTTAAATTTACCCTAAAGATAAAACTATTTTATGCTACGTGTGCTTCTCGAGCAATTATCTCCGCTCCCCGACTGCCATCTACTCGGCCGGTAGGGTTCACGGGACCGAAGGGCTCACGGGACCGCAGTTCGATGGCTGCCGGTGCCATTAGTGCTGGTTTCTCGCCGTGTAATGGACACGGCTGGCGATGAGCAGTAGCTGCTCCAGGACACCTGACGTCTCGGGAAGCCGAGCGCTGCCGAGTCGGTGAGCAGACACACAGTCGGCCTGTGGTTACATTAGCTCCAGCGTGTGCCTGTTACACTGTTACCATGCGCCTGACCACCTCACACCTGTGAGGGTTGGGAACGAGGTCGGAAACTTAATTACCCGTTCGGCTAGATTCCAGCTACTATTCCTACCTTTCCAGCTATTCCATTTCATGCTTATTAATTGACTAACTCTGAAACGATATGTACTCGAAACTACGTTCTTTCCAGCAGAAAAAGTAACAGTTTGCTGGTTCGCCAGCTTTCATCTAATAATTGGCTTGACAAGCTGTTCAGCTCGATTATAACATGCCAATGTATTAGCATGCTGCATAAAACGTGCAGCAGGGTTTGGATAAATACCGTATAGCTGGGTTGCGGTTAGACTAGCGGACTGGCTGTAACTGGATATAACGGGACTGCAGGGACGACAAAAACTTGACCGTGAGACATCTTGAGGATGCTAGGCCCGTGCCCCGTGGGGGGGGGGGGGGCCGAAACGGCCCCCCCTGCCCTTTTCCGTCGACATCTCCTAAATGGCTGGAGATATCGCCACCAAACTTTCAGGACCCCTCTGGGCATCAAGTTTACACCTTGTGACCAAAAATTTCTCCAGAGGCTATGATAGGTTGGCCACAAATGACGTCAGAATGACGTCATGTTCTGCCATTTTCGACCGAAAAAAGATCTTCGCGAGAAGAGCTGTCAGGCCTACAGATTTGAAGATACAGAAAAATGATCAGACATAAAAGGTGTAGAATTGACAGGGCTACAAACCTGATATCTTTAATTTTTGAAATGTTTGAGTTTTGACCCCAAAAATAAAAAAGCATTTTTTTAGATATATTAGCCAAAAAATCAAAAAAGTTTTTTGAGTTTCGAAACAAAAACGGAATAAATGTGATAGAACCCGCCATCTTCTATCTACATAACAAATTTCAGATCGATATCTTGTTTTTTGGCCAAGTTATAGCGAAAAAACTGTTCAAAAATGATGTAAAATTTTCAAACTCAATTTTTGGCAATTATAGACCACGTAAGGCAAAACAAAGACCACCATTAGACTCCCCGTGACGAGCTGCATCGAATCGATACCCATTGTATGCAAAAATATCAACTTTGAAATTTGACCTAATTTGACCTGACTTTGACCTGACCTTGACCAAAATGTGACCTAAGCTGGCCCCAAAGGCTGCCTGACCCACATAATCGCATTTGTCATGTAAAATGGACCATAAAACATGTATCACACGACACTTTCATATTGTGCCCCCCAGTGACCTGACCTCTGTGACCTGACCTGGTATCAGTGACCTCAGATAGCGAATTATGTGTTTGACGAACAATGTACCATCGATGGTTTTCAATAACTTACCAATTTACTCGATTTCACAACACATTTCTGGAAATGCCTGTGAACGGTGAAAATCTGACCTTTGACCTGACCTGTGACGTCATCGGTTTGACCTAGGTCAATGAAATTTGGTCACAAGGCAGTTCGCCGGTGGAGCTATCGAACGCCGTTTGAATTTTGAAAATCGGCCGGTAAATTTCCGAGATCTTAGGGGTGGCGAAACCCCCCCCCCCCCCCCCCCCCTACGGGTGGTTGGGTCCGCCGATAGCCCTACGGGGCGCGGGTTAAGTACAGAACTGTAAGTTTCACCTCCCTGTGGAAGCTCCTCTGGATTTGAGCGGCGTTGCGAAGTTGCGAGTTGCGACATTTCAGGACCGTGTACTTATGACGTCAAAGGTCAGTGACCTGACCTTACCTGAATGAAAATGCGGTTGGTATCAAAAGATTCGGCTTGAATCAAATGTCAGGTACCTATGCCAAATTACAGTTCTCCCACTCTTACGTGTTCCGAGCTACCGCGAAAAAAAACTTTGGGTTGGCACCCGCCCATCCCTTCAGGGTTAAGACAGCAGCAAAATAACTACTACAATTTTGAACTGAAACATATGCACAATGTCTATGCAATGTGTACTGTGCATTGTGCATCCTGCTACCCTTCTTGGTCCATGCAAAACGTAATTTGAATGGGTAACATAGGTAGGGTAGACCGGGGCAAGTCGCCCCGCCGAGGTAAAGCGCCTCACCGATGTTTCTCGGAACTGGCAAGGTTCTGGGGAAACATCCTCTCTTCTATAAAACATGCACTATACGATCATTATATGAGCAGACTGGAAATAAATTGTGATGACTCTTTAGGGAGATATAGCCAAAAATGTGTTTTTGGAGTGATTTTTATGTTTTGTTGTCAGATTATGCATCATGGCGTTCTTTTATCGTCCACATCAGGTTAACGACTTTTATGTATTTTGAACAACTATTGTCTAACGCTTATAATGCCGGGTTGGTTAGTGTTAAATTATGTCTTCCTGGAGTGCAAGGCGTTGTTCTCTGACCGAACTACGTGATGGGGTAAAACGCCCCAGTAGGTCGCGGGGCAAAAAGCCCCATGGGGCGTTTTACCTCATGTGTTGTTCGGACTACCCACTTCCTAATGTTCGGTAGCTGGCGAACGGTATGTTTCTATGCATTTATATGTACTTTTCTCAGCAACTGGATGGCAAAGGAAGTATTTTGTTAACATTTGCATTGCAATAATTTATTATTTGGCCTTATGAGGCAGGTGAAAAACCTGCTCATACAATAGTGTCGTAGCTGAACACCTGATAGGATGGAAGGTGCTAACTTCAGTGCCATGCCTCCCAAGGTCTAACGGACCTTTCATATAAGATTTAGTCAACTAGCATGTTTAATCTTTAATCTAGAGTATGGGGCTTCTTGCCCCAGGCCGTGGGGCGTTTTGCCCTGGGGTTGGGGCAAAACGCCCTATTTGCAGTTGCTTCACAAACCACTTCCTAGCTCGGAGTCCGATCATAAGTGAATGAATTTGAGGGGTGGAATTTAAAGTAAAATGTCCAAAGAACGCATTGAGCACAAATTTGGCCTTCCAGGTTATGTGGGACAAAAGTTATGTAGCAAAATAAATTATCTGGGGCGTCTTGCCCCAGGCTACCCTACCGTCTTGAAGCATCCTATGTCATTCTCATGCATGCATGCATGCATGCATGCATGCACAGATAAGTGTTGGAATTGTACGAGCTTCTTTGTTTTCGAGCGCACTGTAAGCTCATTACACGCTCTCCGCTGGGAGGGGGGGGGGGGTAGACTCTGCCCTCTCCCCCTGTCTAACTTCCGAACTGCAATGGTTAGAAAAACGTGGAAAACGACAATCGAAAGTTCTCAACAACACGGACCTTATGAGTTATGAGCACAGTTTCTTTGTCCAAGTAGGTCACAGGCCAGATCAAGGTCTGGCCAAGGGTGAAAACAGTTTCAACATTACTGGCTTTAGAGTACATACAGCTCGCGAAGAATGGACTGAGATTATTGATTAACCACCCAAAACGCGCTCTTAGGCTACCAAGGTCCAAGACAAAATGCAATTGCATAAAATGTCATGCAAAGGTCAAGGTCAGGTCAGGCCACCAAAGACGAACTAGGGATAGGATATGTGCGTCGCATGTTTTATTGGTCATTTTACGCATAAATAATGAATATTCTTAATTATGACCGAGAATAAAGAGATATTTCTTTCTTTTTTCGGTCATA